AAGCGGAAGTACAACCACAGATTTTACTGCCTAAACCTCAAACTAACACCTTAATATGTCAGTGACGCTGCATCTTCTCAGAAAGTGTAAGACTTAAGTGTAAGTTAAACTTTCCATTAATAAAGGTTCACAATTCACATCACAAAGTCATTCATGGTCTTTCTTCAAAAGCAGAACCGCACTTTGATGTTTAGTCTAAAAGCAAATCTCATGACAATTTCATTCAGAACGTAAACATCTTCAGCGTGACACAAACTAAATACAACTAAAATGACATTTCATATACATCATCACCTGTCAGGCCTAATAATGTATAATGTATTGTGTAATAATGTGTTGTATAGTATCACCACGATTTCATGGAATAAATGAAAAATATGCTTTACTTGCTGTTTCAGGATGTTTTTCTCATGTCTTGTTTTGTGTTTCACTTCCTCTTGTTGTTGTTCTTCTTCTTTTGGGATTTTCTGGCTTTCATTGGTTTCACCTGTGTTTGCTTCTCTGCTGTGTATCCTCACTCTGCCTTCTCCTCTTTCCTGTTTTCAGTTCACTCACTTTTCCTCCTGTGCTCTTCACATATGTTTCCGAGTTCACGGCTTTGTTTCCTGTGTTATTTTGACTTATTTTTAGTGTATTTTTGTATCTTTTTTTACTCATTTGGAAAAAAAGCCAAACCTTATTTTAAGATTGAGTTTCTTGATTTTCCATCTCTGACCTGTGGTGCATGACCCATCCAGTGTGGCCCACTAAATGATTCTGCAGAGCATGAAAATTCCAGAAAAGAAATATTTATTTCAACTTTTCAATAAAATGCGCTCCCATTGCTATTGTGGGGATAACAGCATCACTATAGAGGAGTGCAAATCCATGAAAATGTTAAATTCTGAATCATAAAAATGTGAAATACTTCAGTTTTAGTTTAGTCAAAACACTAGACTAACGGATGTCCTGTGCATTTGTGGATACACTTTGATCTATAAATTGTAAAGCACATGTTGTGGTAAGTTGTTAAAGTTAGGTATGGAGTTCAGATTACTCATACATTACAGTAAGTTATGCCAGGACCGTGACGGTAAGACATTGCACCATGAAACAAGTTCAACATACCCAGGACGTCTTTCTGTTATGTGGCTTCACTCTCTAACTTCAACAATCAGGCTAAGCGGTCACTTAAAGGTGGTTGTAAACGTCATAAATGAATCCAGGGTTCGTTAATCTCGGTGCTACCATGTCCACATGGAAAAGGTAGCGAAGTGGCTAATTTTACAAAGGGAGCAAGCTACAATGTTAGAAAAATTATGCATAATGCAGAGTGAAACTAACACAGTTTCTGAAGCCAGCAGTATGATTGTGCTGTGCAGAAGTACAAAGTGCTGCACAAGTGCCCCTGTGGCTCATTGGGTTGAACCAGTGACCCACATGCTCAGAGACAAGCAGTTACCTGGGTTTGACTATGCCCCAGGCAATTTCCTGTGTGCCATTTCCCCTTTCTCTCTCTCTTGACTTTCTTTGCAGCTCCATCAAGTAAATGCTACAAAATGCCCATAAAAAAGCCCAGTGTGTGGTCTGT